GAGCCAGCAGTGCCTTCCCTGTGTCCCTCAGAGCTGCAGCCCATTAAACCCACAGCAAACAGAGTTTGTGCATTTCAGCTCTGACAGGAGCCAGCCCTGGGTGCTGGATCCCAGCTGGGATATAAAGGACAGGGTTCATTAGGGGAGCCTCTGCCACCAGCAGCTTCCAGGCTTTTCTGATGATGGGAATTCTGCAGGAAACCTCACTGCTGGGTTTGATTGCTGCTGCAGGGGGCTGTGGCTGATTTAACCACTTAATCAACCTCAGCCAGGCAAAGCTGGGGTTGTTATTTCAGGAGAAGCAGGTTGTGGAGTGATATTTTCTTCACCAAATCTCCTTATCAGCCCAGGTGTTTGAATCACCTGGAGACTAACCTTAAAAGAAAACAGCCAATACCTGAATTTATTTACTTTCAAGCAACTTCTATACATATAGGTGGGGAAATATAGATTTTAATCAGGCTCACTAAACTAGCTTTTTTTTTTTTTTTCTCTTTCCCAAATAACTTTTCAAGCCAGGAATGCAGTGGATTTGGGGTTTTTATTGAAGGACTCTGTGTGTCCATGGGAAGGTTTCCCAGCACTCAGACCCAGCTCCATCCCTGCCTCTTTATCCTTTGCAGGTCTCTTCCTGCAGAAGGGAGAAGCCCAAATCTTTGTTTGCTGATGCTCACAGCAGAGGACAGGCTGATATCTGAATTTGGAAAGTAGGGCAGCGAGAAACCCTGGGCAGAGCACAGCAACAGCCTCCTGCTGAAAGGGGAGAGTCAGGCATTCAATTACTCCTGTTGTGTGTGTGGTCCTGGGAGCCAACTTTCCTTTCCCTCCCTTGGATATCACCTCCAAAGGCAGGGAGGTGACAAGCACTTCAACTTCCCCGCGTTCCAAAGGAGGGAGGTGAAAGCTCTGCCTGTGTCAGCATTCCCAACAAGCTGCCCCTCAGTGGAGGGGACCCACTGCAGAGGGAAACCTGCAGACAATGCCTGCTTTGTCCCCTCCCTGCTTCTTGGGCGCCCTGAGATGCTGAGTCCAAACATTTAACCACAAAATGCATTAATTACCATCCAGCTCCCCGGGGAAAGGACCACATGCCAGTTTCCAGGGGAAACAAAAAAGGAAGAAGCACGGGAAGGCCATTGATTATTAAATTACTCCGAGTGCAATTACTGCCACGGAAAGTTCTTGATGAACATTTCCTAGAAACATTGAGTTCTCCAACCTCTGTGCTCGGGCCATGGAGCACAGGAGTGACCCAGAAATTGTGGGATGAGGTCACCTTCCCACATAATGCCAGGGGATGTGTCCTGTGCAGGGTAACTCTGCTCAGCCCATGGCACTGAGCTGTTTGCTGTTTGCTGTGGCAGCTGTGAGCTCCAGGCCCGGCTCCACGCGTGTCCTCAGCTGCTCACTGCAGCTAATCCCAAAGTTTGGCAGCCACCCCGGAGGAGAAGGAGCCATGCAGGGACAGCTGGTTGGGAATCACAGCAAGCTGCAGGCAGTCTGACACCGGCAGAAGCTGGGTTTCCCCCACAATCCTTGCAAGTCTGGCAAAGCAAACCCTGCTCGACGGAGGGGCAGTGAGAGAGGAATGAGCCAGAACAAATGCATCCCTCCCAGGAGGCAGGGGAGGGATGGAGCCCAAAACCCCAAAAACAAATGCATCCCTCCCAGGAGGCAGGGGAGGGATGGAGCCCAAAACCCCAAAAACAAATCCATCCCTCCCAGGAGGCAGGGGATGGATGGAACCCAAAACCCCAAAAACAAATGCATCCCTCCCAGGAGGCAGGGTATGGATGGAACCCAAAACCCCTCCCGGTGCCTGGAGGGGAGGGAGGAACGTGGAGCTCCTGGGGTGGCTCTGCTGAGGGGGCCTGAGCTCCTCAGAGTATCTGTGACAGGAGGGCTGGGCCTGAGCCTCACTGCTGCATCCCAGGATCCCGAATTAGCTGTGGAATGGGAATGTTGGTATTTATAGCCAGGGTGTGGCTGTCCTGCTTGCCTTTAATAGGTGTCCCTGGGCAGGTTCCTGTCCCAGCTGTGTCCAGTGTGGCTTTAGGAGCTCTAATGAACCCGGCAGTCAGGACAGGCTCCTGCTTCTGTCACAGCCAGCCCTGGATTCTCTCCTTCCCAAACCTCCTCAGCATCCTTCTCCTCACAGCAGTTTCATTACCATTTAAAAAATGGGATGTTCTTACATGTGTCCCACTGAGTGACAACATGACCTGCGTGCTGAGCTCCTCCCATGCCTGAAAAATTCCCCGTGGAAATAAAAACCCATTTTTGAGCCCAGGGTCAGCGTGGCAGAGAATTCCACAGGAGAAACACACACAGCCAGGGCAGGAGAGGGCCTGCTTTGATATCTTTAACATCTGATGCCTCCAGTTTCAAAAGCACTTGGAAAGTTTGAGACGGAAAAACTGCTGCAGAAAGGCCAAAACTGCTGGAGAAGTGAAACAATCCCACGTTGTTTTGCTGCTCTGCCAAATGGGGACCAAGCTCCTGAATACACCATAAAATAATATTGAGGGAGTGACCCACTGAGCACACGTGGGGGGCCAGAATTGCTTTGTTCCCACTCCATGGCTTGGTGCAATTTTAGCTTTGAGTAAGGCACTGAACTTTCCTGACTCATTCCTCACTGCTGTTAAAGGTGGGTGATGCTCATTTCCCTATGGATTGTTAGCAGCACTGGTGATTTATTATGTAAAGCGTGGACAAATAAATTCTAAGTGTTCTAAAAAAGAAATAAATAAATCCAGAATAATACAAACAGCAATTACTGAAGGAGGAAAGAATTGAGAGCTTTCAGACTGAACATTGTTAGATGTTTCATTTGAATGGGGAGCACGAGAGGTTTGGTAAGTGGTAGCTGGAAACCAGGAAAATGTCATCTGAAAGTGAAATAATTGAAAAGATATTAAAGCAGAGCCAGGGCTGGTGCAGCTGGGTATAAATGAAATAACCTATTAGCTGCTCTGCGAGATACCAGCAGGGGAGAGCTTTTGTCAGAGCAGAAATGCAGCAGTGGTGAGGGAAAAACAGCCCTGGCAGCTCCTTTGTGGGGCTGGGAAAATAAAAAGGCCCCAAGAGCCTCACAGACCTCAAATCTGTTGCTCTACACCCACTTTTGTGGGTGCCGTGGGAGAGCTGTTCCTTTGTGCTGAACCACTGCCTGTGCTCCAGCAGGTGGGTCTGGGCTCTGGGGAGCCCTGGGAAGTGCTGCAGGTTTGCCAAAACCTGGGATTTAAAACTTTTTGGTGAAGCAGAGAGGAAGGCTTGGTCCTTGGCTGAGGGGGGTGCCTGGCTCAGTGTTCCTTGTCCTGAATAAGGACTCAGCTCCTGCCTTTCCCAGCAGGCAGAGGATCCAACTTTCCTTTGCCCCTCGTTAAACCAGTCCCAGAATCCACATTTGGCCCCAATTGGTGCAAATTCCTTACTCTGCCATGCAAACTAAGACAGATGCTTGTGGAGTCTCTGGGACAACCCCATTTAAAAGAAATTTCTTCCCTTGTTGGAACGTGGATTCCAACAACAACAACAACGGCAGACGGTGTCCTTCATGGTACAAGCTGCAATTAATTAACGGGTAATTACCAAGGGAGGTTCCTGGCCAGGGCTGGACTGCACAGCCCCACATCAGTATGGTTGCAGTGCCACACCAATTTCCAGCCCAGGCTGTCCCACCCCATGAATCAGTGAGATTCCTTGGACTCTAAACCAAGCACAGACAGATATTCCACTGCGAGCTGGGGCTGTCCACAAGCTGCAGGAACAGGAATAAAAAGGACTTTGTCACATCAGTGGCCCAGCCCTATCAGCTCCGGAGAGGGGCTCACAGCAGTTTTTCCTGCTCCAGATGAATTCAAGGGCATTCAAAGCTGATATTTGCGTAAAGACATCCGGTTATGCAGCAAACGCCTGGAGAGACAGGAGGTTTTGTTATTAGCAGCGAGCGCTCCGTTGGTAACCATTCCATGGAGCCATCCCGGGCTGCATTTGGGTACAAATTACAAATTACAGGGAGGCTCATCCCGGGTCACAGACGGCATTGAAGTCACTCCGTGCCACCTCGGGGGATGCCACAGCCCCGGCCTGCCCTGGGAACGGCTCTGCCGAGACGCTCAGGTGCAGCTCCTCTCAGACTATTAAAAATACAGTCTGGGCTTCCAAAGGGAAAGCAAGGACTGCGAGCAAGGGCGGGAGGCGCCGGGCCATGAAAGCCGCTCTGTTGTGTGAAGCCGCACGGGGAAAATGTGATCGTGGCTCTGCTGTTCCGCTGGAAAGGCTGGAAAAAGCGCGGTTTCTTCTCTTTCCGATGTTTCACCCAGTTCTCCTGCACATTTTTCTGTCTGGCTCCTCAATCCCTGACCTTAATAGTGAGGGGAAAATTAGGCTGGAGACAACTTGGGATGGATTTTTCCCCCTTCCAGGAAAGGAGCTGTTCCTGCTGCTCTGGTGTGGTGGGTCTGTAAGGGGGAAGTTTCTAGATTTTAAGTTTTTTACCTGAGGGTGAGCCGATGGCGGGGGAACACATACCCCGGGACTGGCAGCGCCCACAGGGCTGTGGCCCCGCCAAGGCCGCTCCCAGACGTTGTCACCGAGCATGACATCAGCCGCGGGCGGTGTCTCACGGCCGAGACGCCCACGGCTGACACGGGGGTATCCCCGCCACCATGAGGGGACCGCGGGGACCCCCCCGTCCCTGAGGGGACTCCGGGACCGCCATGGACGGTGCTGCCCCTCACAACTGTCCCCTCACGGCGGCCACGCCCCCTCAGCGCGGCCACGCCCACTCAACGCTGCCCAGCATTGTCCCCTCAGGGAGGCCACGCCCCCTCAGCGGTGCCCCCTCACTCATTGTCCCGCCCCCTCGCGAGGCCCCGCCCATCGCCGGCGGGCTCCAGGCGCGGCGCGGGGCGGTTCTCAGTCGCGCTCAGGGCGGGTGAGGGGAGCGGAGCGGCGTCGCCGTCCCGGCTGTGGCAGCGGCGGGCGAGGCGGGGCAGGGGCTGCAGCAGCAAGAGCAATGGCGCTGTCCGTGCCGGTCAACGGGCTGAAGGAAAGCGACAAGGAGCCCGTCATCGAGCTCTTCGTCAAGGTACGGCCGAGGAGAGGCAGCGGAGGAGAGGAGAGGGGAGGGGAGCTGGGGCGGGGGAGTCTCGTCCCGTCTGAGCGCCGAGCGCGCGCGCGCCGCGACCGTTGGGCGCTCCCCCCCTCCCCTTCCTCCCTCCGCTTTCCCGCCCGGGGGGCTCCGGGTCCCCTCACGGCTCCCTCGGGCCCTTCCGTGCGCACCCCGCTCCCCGCAGACCCCACTCCTCAACCGGGCACGGCGAGGGGAGCCCCTCGGAGCGACCCCCCGAACACCCCGCGGGCGCGGGGGGCTCCGCTCGGGGCGGCTCCCGGCGCGGTGCGGGCACAAAAGCGGAGCCGAGGGCGTGTGCCCGGCGCCGGGAGGGAGTGCGGGAGCCGCGGTGAGTCAGAGTGGGCGATAGCGCCGGCGGACCGCAAGAAAAGTCACTTTTCTGGGGGAGAAAAGTGCGGCCCGGATGCGTTTTGCTGGAAGATTCTCCGGCCGGAGCAAAGGGTGCCGCGGGTGCGGGGCAGCAGCGCTGGCGCAAGGGAAGAACCGAGCGCCACAATGGATCGCCCTCGCTCGGCATTGTGTGCCCGGCCAAGCGCAGGAAGGCGGCAAAAAAGCAGCAAAAACACGAGTTACTGCTCGCTCCCCTCCCCAAAAGTCTACTTTTTATGACGGGAAGTGAATATGTAAAGTAACACCAGGTTTTTATCCAAACTAGAAGAATGAGCATGTGTTGTACTGCCCTTATCTGGCGAAGATACCATATGGTATCTCCACATGTTTTGCATTCATTTATTGCTGTATGATGCAATATTTTGCATCCTCCGGGGCTCTGGTGATGCAGCATCTTACTTTTACTTCATATCAGAAGTAACACCAATTACTCCGTGCAATCTTCTCTTTCTGTGCTTAAGCGTCCTTTAATGAAAGCTTCTACAGGAAAGTATTTACATTCTTCAGATGAAGTTTCTTCCAATTGCAGAGAGAAAATTGGACGTCTCTTCATCTAGGAGCTTTGGAATTGCTTAGTATAAAAGCAACAATGACAAACATGAAAATTTCCAGCTGTTTGGAAATAAGTTATTAAATATCGATTTTATTTCTTAAATGATACTCTCTAAAGGTGTTGAATTTTTCCCCTTTTCATACTTCCTAATAGTAGTATCAAGAGGCACTAATGGGACCCCAGGGACAGCATTGCAGTGGAGGATTCCAGACCTGATTTTGGTCGGAATATTTAGACTCTTAGTATAGAGGTTAGAACTTACAATTGCAGCAATTAAGTTACAGATTACTTTGAATTATTTATAGCAGTGTATCTTTAACATAATGTGCCAGTTTATCTTCATCTGTCCTAAAGTTCATCAGCTGATTTTTCTTATTTTTAAAAAAATTCGAGCAGTGATTGATGGCAGAATGATTTGGGGGCAGAGGGAAATCAGCTTTGTGGGTGTGTTTAAAGAGAATATTTCATGCATGAGGAGTGGCATGGAAGAAGCTGTAAAAATAGTTTTGAGAGAGATGTGTTCATTCTGATTAAATCAGAATTGGACCAATAAACCTGTGAGATGATATGAAAGGGAGAAATCGGAATTTTTCTGTCCTTTTTTGTTGAAATTTCTTTTTTGGCATGGGTTTAAGAAGGCTAAATTTTGGGTTATCAGTGAGGATTTTTTTCCCTCAAAGAAACCTTTTCCCATTGTTATGGATGACTGCTGCACGCTGAGCACTGTCTGCCCTAAGGGTAAAGTTCAGATTAAAATAAGAGGTTATTGCTGCCTGCCTTCACAATCTTCAGGTAAAGATTATTTCCTATAAAATCCTTCAGGTAAGGGACAACCCCCAGCCTAGCAGGCAGAACCAAAACAGTTGTTTCACCTGGGTATTGCTGCCTTTCCCACACTTTATTGAAGCTGTTGAGGATTATCAGGACAGCTTTTTTGTAAGGCAAATAAAATCTTGTTTTCTGACTCATTTAGATGCTCACTTCAGAAATTGCTAGCAGAATATGTTTATTGAAGACAGCCAAGAGTGTCTATCTAAAGGAGCACTAAATTTGGATTTTAGTAATTATTTTTTCCTCTGGGAATGGAACGCTCACTTGCAGTTTTTCCACGTGGTTGTGGGTGCAATCTAGAAAAAAAAAAAAAAACTGACTTTACTGAGAGTTTCTCCATGCAGATAATCACTTTTCAAGCAATATCTGGGATTTACCTGTGCCCTGTTAGCCAGGGAAGCTCCTCAGGCAGAGGTAGAGGAAAAAGTTCTGGCCCAAGCTCAGCCCAACCCCGGCCCAGGGGCGGTGACTGCATGACCTGAGCACAAAGGATTGTAACAGCCAGACCCGAGATGAAACAAAGGTAGGGATTAAAGCTTGAGAAACAAACCTGTGAAGCCGGAGAAAGGGTCTGGCTCTGCGCCCAACCTGTGGGGTTTGAGCCTTATTAAATTGTGATCAGTAACAAAATAGGATGGGCAGGGCGCTGGAGGAGCACACACAGGCTGGGCTCGGTTGGGAATGACTGTCACAGTGTTGTCACCAGCACATTGATACGAGTTTGCCCACCAGACAATGTATCAGTCTGCTGTAATTGTATTTCCATAGTCTGAGAACCCCCGGCAGGATTAGGGCACTTCGGTAAGAAACTCTGTTGTACTGGTTATTCCGTTTCTTGGTGTCACCATGAAAACTTCCAGAATTTATTTCATTCTGCAGCCGGTGGGCTGCCTGTGGTCTCTTTTAAATCAAGTGTAAATATTTTCTGAGTCTTTTCTCTTGAGAGCTGATTAGGACAAAAGCAGTGATGTATCTGATTTCATTTCGTTTCCTTGCCTGTGCCATGTTTTATTAACGAGGGAGGCTTCCATTGTCTAGCAGGAATATTTTTATGTGCCCTAGTGGCATTTCAGAGCAGTGAAGGCTGCATTGTGAATGTGCTCAGAGAAACTTGAGCTCAGGGATTGGAGTGCAGCTCAGACAGGTCACTTGGAATAATAGCTGTGCTTTCGTTGGTGGTGTGTGGAATTTTATTGTAAATAAAAAACGTGGTGAGGTGAATTGGTCAAATAGGCCCAGTCACCTGTGGAAATCACAGAACAGTTACAAAACTGCCTGTGCAGTTGCTGTCAGGGAGTGTGTGAGGATGGAGCTGCTGAGAGCTCAGCCCTGGGCGTTCTGGAGGGCACTCAGTGATTGCATCCTCTGCTGTACCGAGGAGGAGACACAGAGGGTCAACAAGTTCAGTGTTAAAGGAAACAAACACCAGGCTCCACTAGTGAGGAATTCAGAGCTGTGTGACTCTGCTGGCATGGCATGGGTGGGAGGAAGGTTTCCCCTCTCCACTGGTAACGTGTGTGTACTTGTAATTAATGAGACCTTGGATTTCTGGCAGCTCTCAAGTGAGGTGGCATTGCGAAATGGGGCACCTGTGTTGAAAATCAGATAGAGTCTGCTGTCTGTTTACCCTTGGGTTGCCTGTCAGTACAAAAGAAAAAGCTGTGATTTCACATTTAATAAATACCACACTCTGAAGCATTCCCAGTGACTGTAGCAGAAGCTTGTCTCTGTTTTTGTGTATCTGAAGCAAACAGAGATTGGCAGGTGAACTGTTTGTGTTCTGGGCTCGGGGTCTGTTTTGTTCAGTGCAATGTTGGGGCTGGGGCTGAGGCAGGAAGGGATGTGAGCATCTCCAGAGGATGGATTTGTGTGCATTCAGGTCTGCCTTTGTCTCACCCTGTGCTCATTCCCTTATGTAAGCTCTGCTGTGGCACTCTGCAGCCCTGCAGCTCTGTACATTGGTTTATTACAAACCATCCCTGAGCTTCTTTGCCATCAGTTTTTATTATTTTTTCACCCACAAAGTAGCTGTGTGATTTAGAGGCACATCAGTACAAGGAAATAACAGGACTGGAAAAATGCAGTGCTGCTTCTCAGAGATAGTCTTGGCTGGGCTATTGCTTGATAATCTTATTAGATAAGTCTCCTCCTTATGCACCAGATCATCCTTGGAGGGTTTGATGTAACCTCAGCAGCTGAGAACCTCCTCAGCCTGTCTTTGATATGTGTTTGGTACAGACAGCAAAATGTCATGTGAGGGTTATTTCTTGGGAGTGTTGTAAAGGGGCCCTTTGTAAACTGAGGTGTAACCATTGAGTTATATCCTGTGCTCAGTGGGTATAAATCAGGCCTTTTCCTGCTCTGGCCAGCAAATTCCTTTAAATTCTGCCTGGGGAAGTCCTCACAGCCAGAAACATCCTCAGCTTTTTCATCTGGGTCTGGTTGGTGATGCAGGAACTGGTGCTCTTAGTACAGAGGTGGCCTCAAGTGTAAATGTTAAATTTTTTTGCAAATCATTGGTAAGTAAGCTTAAAACCTCCTGGCAATAATTTCCAGAGAGTTAACTCATTTCCAGATGAGTTAGCTTTCCTTTAGTCAGGAATTGCTTCTGAGTAATGGTTGTATTCCCTGGCATCCCTTCTCCCTTCCCAATGATTAACATCAGACAGCTCTGATTGTCAGGAGAGCTTCTGTTTGACTTTGCAGCTGAAATGTGTCTTAACATTCAAGCATTTTCCTCTTTTCCCCTCTAAAATCTGTGTGAATTCCCAGATTTCAGCTGTGGGCTGGGCTCTGTGGTGGTGCCTGTGAGTCACTCCCTCCGTGGGACACGTGCCATGGACACATTCCTGCAGCACAGATCCTGCTACAAAAGACAAGTCTGTCCTCAGCTTTCCCAGCTGGGAATTCTCAGGGTGTGCATCCAGGGCTTGAAGTGGAAGGAGAAGCCTGTGTGTCAGAGCAAATCTTGTGGGGCAAACTTTGGGGCCTGGAGGCTGCTGAAAGTCGGGCATGGAGGAACACTGAGGATCCAGGGCTTGTCCTGATGTGTGCAGTGATGAGTTCACCCACAGGGAAGGGCCCTGTGAACACCAGCATTCCCATGAAAATGAGTAAAGAGACTGAGATCCTCTTTAAAGAGAGTTTTGTGTGGCCATAAAAATACTTGCTTGTTGAGAAA